TATCTCGAGTTGCTTGGTCTCTGAGGCTTCATCGGGACCCCATTCCTCTGGTTGGTTGAGCACATTGTTTTGGCCCGACGCTTCCTGAGTTCGCGTGTCGTAATACGCTGTGGTCTCTTTTCTCTGCGCGTCTTCACATTTGGTACAAAGCCACCTTAGACATAGGTTGCAATCGCATGTGTCGCTGAGTTGTAGCTTCCGATTATCACCTTCGAGCTGGAAGTCACAATCGCGGCAAAGACACATGATGTTGAGAGGGCGCCAGTTGTAGCGCGGCTCGACATAGCTTTCCTCCACGGACAGAAGCCGATCGTAGTACCTGCACTCCTCACAGACGTTGATACCACATCTCCGGCAGGGCAGAGCTCCAGCCTCGTCGCATTTGATGTTGTACAGCTTGACTTCGATTTCCTCGTCCCCGACAACCATGGGAGGGAGGCCGCAGAGAAGAGTCCAGTAGTTTGGACAGTAGCGTCCGCTAAAGTTTTGGCGTTGCACTAAGCCGCGGCCATCGCAGAGACAGAGGCTTTTCAGCTTCTCGAATATTGTACGGGAACCGAGGATGTGGGCGTGGTGGTTACGGTTCGTCTGAGCTATGTGAAGAAGGTCCAAGGCTGAAACATATTCCGCGAGGATGGACAAGATCGGATAAGACGAGATGAGGTGCGAAATGGACGGAGTCGGTGATTTCGGGGCCATGGAGAACATCGAGTGCCCGACAGATCGCGCGGCATACAGATCGATGTCGCATGAGCCTGTGAGGTTGTCTTTTCTGAAAATTTACGACACGTGTGTTCAGGAGTAGATTGTTGCCCGGCCACGGCTCATGGAAGGCGAGTCATCACTGGGATGTGCCTGTCTCAAACCAGGGGGCCGGCCGGGGATGGCGCAGTCCGAAGGTGCTGAGGCCGAGCCACATGTGGCTGGATGAACCACTCGCCTCAAGTCTGTGCCTGATATTATCGTGCTGACGATGAGGTGAGCATCGTGCTGGTCGCCGTTGGTCGAAAGAGAGTCGATTTCGTCAGTTTCGCCGAGAATTCCTGATGGAGCTTTTGCTTTGCTGCATCGGATGACAGGAATTCAAATTGACGGCACCTCAAGGCCGCATCAGGTTCGAGCCTTTGTCCGTAAAGGATGGTGTGCCATGGAGCGACGCCGGGTAGCTGCCGAAGATTGAAGCAGGCCATTGGATCATTCTCCACAGCTGCCAGAGTCAAGAAAGTGATCGGCACGACGGGAGCTTCGAGATTTCCGTAGAGCTCGGAGCTGGCGACGTCAGCTTCGGTCTTCGTCTTTGATGGCTTTACGTTGGACTGGAATTGATACAAGTGTCAGAGAGCGTCTGGTTTCATCGGATGTTGGTGGAAAAGGTTGTTTCAGTCGGTAGCTTCGGCAGGGTCCAGCCTTGACAGCCCCTTTTCTAGCTGTTCTAGAACGTTGAGCCGTGGTGGGAGGATGAACCACTGTGACGTTGATTTGGTTCCAAGGTGAACATGGGAATGGATAAGTCAAGGTGAGCAAGGTGACATTGGTGACATTCAAAGGTGAGCAGTGGATATTCCAGATTTCCAGATATTTTCCGGACGCAGCGATGATCAAGTGCCTGGGGAGGTGTGAGATCATCTGGATCGCTCCTGCTGGAATGGCGCTGAAGAGTGTTGGAGAAGGAGCTACTGGGAGCTCCCCAGGCAGAAAGACCCATAAAAGTGAGTCACAGCCAATCATCGCCGCCATTTGACTGTGGTTCCAGGGGGAGGTCTCCGCTCTAGTGGCCTGTGCGACATAAGGCTGCACCGCAAACGGCCAACAGCAACGCAGCAGCAGCAGCCAAAGAGGTCCTCACAGTGCAGGTGGCAGGCACTCTCGGGGGTGGTGCGCGGATGAGATAAGCCAGGTCCGATAAGGATAACACACCTGACCGAAGCTCCAACCTTATCGCGACATCATCCTCGTCGCCTACACCATCCCATCCTGTCCTGTCCTATCCCGTCCCGTCCCATCCCAACCGTCTTCCCGTCCTTCTCTCTATCGCTTCCTTGTTCCTCTTTACATCCTCATCCTCCCCTGGCTCACCTTGGCTTCGCATCTTGGCTTTGCTCTTCACATCAACACCTTAATCCTATTCCTTTCTACTTAAATATGAATCGCTCCAACTCTTGACCTTTTTGTCGTGAAGCACTTCCTCTCTTTCTCCCCCATTCAACATGGCCAATTCCCCGTCCCACAGGTCCAGCCGGAGCCCAGCCTCGTCCACCTCGGCCGGCCGAGACTCCACGTCCCCTTCACATTCCAGAGACCGCCGTGATGCACCCTCCACGTCAGCCTCCGCCGCTGCCGACCATGTGCCGGTTGAGACATTGGTGGAACACTTGCTCGCCGCCAAACGCTCGCTCTCGTCCATGACGGCCGTCTTGCGAGCAAACGAAATCGCGACCGATGCACGCCAGGCCCATGAGGAGGCAGTTATCTTGTATGCCGAAACCCAGTTCCTGCGACGTGCCATCTCTGAGCAGCTGGCGCTGTTGATGAAGGTTCGCCGTGGTCTCAAGAGAACCTACGATGCCGGCAAGCGCGACTTCAAGCACCTGGTCAAGACCATGGATGCAACCAATGAGAAGCTGCAGGAGACTATGGCCATGCTCAAGAATACAACTGTGGAAGCTGTCTTCAGACCGCCGGGCGAAGAGCGCCGCAATCTGATGGACTTTGTGGACGAAAAGAGCGTCCACGTCATGGTCGAGGCTCTGAAGCAGAGCCTCGGCGAGCTGCAGGTGTGTAAACGTACCCCTGCTGCCTCTGGATTTCCCACACTATCTATGATAGTCTAGACGACTGACGGAATGAATTACCTGCAGGCTATCCAAACATCCTTTGATGGCGATCTCCTTCGCTTCGACGATGACCTGCGAGCACTAAAGAAAACGATGACGACGACACCCCTGCCTCGAATGCCCTCCGACTCGTCACAATACGACCCGATACCCGAGCTTCTCGGTTCTCTCGTAGACAGTTCACATGACATGGCCCAACTGCTCACGTCCTTGACTAAACACTTTGACTTGTGCGTCACAGCGGTGCGGACGACAGAGGGCGGCGCGGCTCTTGCTCGTCGTAGGGCGGCGGAGGTGACGCAGTCACAAGGCGGCGATGGTGTATCGTTGTCTGGTGTAATCGCTGACCAAGAGTCGCAAATGCCCGACCTCGAACCGATAACGATGAAAGACCGGGCGGACATGCTGAATGTTGTGGTTAGCGATGCATCAGAGGTCGAGAGTGTCATCCAGGAAATCAACAAGACACTCCAGACCATGGAAGAGGAATTTTCAGCCATGACTGGACAAACAGGACAGATTAAATTGGCGTTCCTCGGCACCCTGCAAGGGTTCACTGCGCTGGAAGAGATGGGCGCTCGTATGGCCAGCTACATTGCGAGCGAGGCCGAGTTCCTCCAGCGGTGGGAGGATGAGACATACACCATCTACAACAAACTTGGCGAAATGGACGACCTTCGAGACTTTTACGAAAAGTACGCGGGCGCTTATGATAACCTGATCCTGGAGGTCGAGCGGCGCCGCATGGTAGAGGACAAGATTACAAACATTTGGAAGAAGGCGATGGATAGCGTTGACAAACTCGTCGAAAATGATCGACGGGAGCGCGAAGGATTCCGCCAGGATATTGGCGAGTTCATCCCCACGGATCTATGGCCGGGCATGGACGGCGGAATGAAGAGGTGGGAACTCGTCGCGGTTGACGACGGCAACGCCGAGGACGACGTGTCTGGCGGGCAGCGAAGCACGCCGGCACTGGACCGAAGCGTCGTGGACGCTGCTCGAGACCGATTGGAGAGGAGCCAGCAGCGGTAGGAGCATTGCAGTCTTTCGGATTGGCTCCTGTGTTGATTTAGATTGTTTGAGTGTAAGGATTCACCGGGATCTGGTTTCATTGGCGTTCATAACAGGGTAAAGACGGCAGCCTCCAGATAGGCAAGGGATAGTCTCATGGTTTCATGGTTTGGACGGCGGCAGAGTCTGTTTGGATTATTATTTGGCTGGGCATTTCATCTTCTCCGGTCTTGTATGAAGTGAAGTATCTTATCAATACCACAGGAACATCGATCAACGACCATAACGGCTTCAGTGTAGATTGCCACTAGCTCCGCCGTCCGCTTTGCGTTGCTCACTGGGTCTACTTGAGTTGGTCGAAGGAAGCCTCACGGCCAAATGGGATTCAGTCTACGAGGTGTCTTGCACAGCAGCGGTCACGTAGCGAGGAACCTTTATACTTAAACGATATTGAGTGTAGAACAGAGTGGTTGCAGTGGTATTGACGTACCTGACATTCAGTCTGTGGACAAGAGACGATAGTGATGATCCAGCACGGTTTGGCGAGCGGCAACGGGCGCCAGGCCGTATCTTGCCATCCATGCATGTGCTTCTACGGCCATGCTACTGTGAGAACAGCGTTTGATGTCTATAAGAGAGTGTATGGACACTTGCTACAAGCGCAGTCCCATCATGACGACATCAGGAACAGGACGCCAGCTTTCCGCAATGGCCAGGTAAGGTACCGGGACCGAGAAACTGTACGTTATGAACATAGATCTAGAGACAGGGACCAGGAAATCATGATCCTACTTGCCTTCTGAAAACGAGACGAAGCCAGCTTCGGGTCTTTTCATATCAAGGGCAAGCCTCTCGATGCCGCCTACGGTGCTCCCCTTGGAACATTGAACCGCTCGGCAGGCTAAGGCGCTGTCTCATGCATTGGCCTTGACAAATCGGTGGCGGACAGGAGTAGACGGACCCGCTCATTGTGTGTACGATCGATACACGCTGGCTGGATTGAAACACACTAATTTTCAGTCAACTTATGACCAAAGCGAAAGTATTCTGTATGATTGACAATCAATATTAAACCAGCGACCGAAAATAACCTCCTCACTACTGAGTACGACCACAAGCACGAATTGCATGATACATAGTTGACCCTCGCCCTCAAGACCCGACATGGTACTGAGCATTCTCATTCGGACCGTTCACCTGGAGCCCTCCAACGGTGCTAGCCTGCGTACCTTTTCCGTTATGCAGCATCATGATTCCGTTACCGTACTGAATTTGAGTGTTTGATCCATGCTGTTTCTTTTGCAGTGAAGGAGGAAGCTGTGTGATTTCACCTAAAGCAATGTCCAGCTCGGTGACAACCTCGTCAGCTACCCAAGGCGGTTTCGCTACCACCATCATCTGGTTGAGCACATCTTCCATCAGCTTCTCCACTACCTGATCGCCGTTCGCTTCCACCACAGCTGCATATTGCGCTGCCTTTTCCATGGCATTTGTCCCTTTCTTGATCGCACTGAACATAGACTCGATGATCTTGGCGAGACCATCGCAAGCTTCAGCAGATTGCTTGATTTGGTGGAAAGACTGGCGCTGCTCCGATGTTTCAGAACCCCCCCTGGTAATGCCTTCAAGATGTGAGTGAATAGAGGTAAAGACTTGCGGCAACAGCGGAAGCCATTTTGCGACACCTGGAAATGCCGGAGGTAGACCCTCCTCGTCCTTGATCGTGCCTCCAACGTTGCCCACTCTTTTGAAGCGACGGGAGGTGTCATCGACTGCATTCATTGCTTCATCGACAGTTGTTTCTTTGGCAGTCATGATGACGGTCGGCGCCTGGTCGAAAAGATCGGAGGGTGCAAGTAAGGTGATGAAACTAAGGTAGACCAGGTGTCAAGGAACATGAATTACTATTCTACGGTACTCCTTAACCGTGTCAAAACTCTTTAGCAGTCGCCTTTATACATGTGTTCGGTCATCTTTTTGATTTCCTTTTCCTTTTTTCTTCTTCTTTCGCAGAGCGACACCTCAGGTGTCACAGCAAATCAGGATACGGACTCCTTAGACCAGTTGCACCCCTCGGGCAATCTATGAAGTACCTATCTACATCAGTTCATCGTGCGCTTGACATGCACCTGACTTGACCGGTACTAACGATTCCACGCAGAGCTCCCCTCAATGGGCTTGAATATTTCTGGGCATGCAGCAGCAGCTGACCGCATGATGGACAATTATGCAGACCCTCAGAGATTTTCGTATGTCCAACAATCAGATATCAATATTTAGGCAGCACAGCCTGCCCGTACGTGGAATGTATGATTGCCTGCAGCAGGCGAGCCACTGAGCCTGCTTGATCCCACCATCTTTCCTTTCCAGGTGGTCAGTTATCATTTGACTGCGCCGGGGCGGGCACCCGATAGAGAAACCGGTCAACTGTCGGGGCCAACTATTAGCTTCCCTTCCTTCAGTCAGGAAGTCTGTCTTGAGGGCCAGGACTAAGGAGTGACCTCTCTCTCACATCATCACATACCAGGGCAACTTTTCTTAGTCTTAACACGAGAATGTCAGGAGCCGAGGTTCTAGGCATCATATCTGCCATAATATCGGTCATCGATGCATCAATCCAACTTTACAAAGCCGCCAATGACGTCTCCGGCTTGCCCTTCGCCTTTCGCCAAGTCTACTCACGCTTGCCGCTCGTTCTGGACACTCTGAAAGCCGCAGAGAATGGATTCGACGATCAAGGGGACTCTCCAAATAGCCGCGAGGCCCTCGTCAGACTTTTGGAAAGTTGCGAAAACAAGGCGAGGTCCCTCGAGGAAATTTTCCGAGACACTATCTCCCCTCCCCGCATTTCGAAAGTGAAGAAATTCTTCAAGGCTATGAAGACGGTCCCCAAGAATGGCGAACTTGAAGCGCTATCCGAAGGCATTCTCGCAGACCTCAGCGTGTTGACAAGCAATTACGCCGTGAAATTCACCACACGACAGGAGATGGAGAGATTGGTTAGGCTGTTGGAGGGGGAACCTCGGGACCCGGGAAATTCCCGTGATATGATGAATAACAGTATGGGATCAAATCAACAGTACATTAAGTTGGATGAGGGCAACCAGTACGTTGCTATCGGGAATAGCATGCAAATCAATGGTCCGTCCAGTGGTACTTTCAACTATAATTCACGCTAGATTAGGAACAGAATGACAGGCTGAATTCGATCGACATACTCTTCAGTGCTAGCCGTGTATCTGCCGGGCTCTTGGCTGTAGTCGCGAAGCGATTGCAAATAATATGAACCCTCATCTCTTGCTTCTTGATATACCCATATTCGCTGCTCCCCGTTGCAGCTGGCGAGCCTTGTCCTCTCTTTTGAGCTGCGCGCATAACATCAAAGGCGTTCTACCGTGCTCATCTTTTGCATATAAACTCACCCCACCTTGGGCTAGAAGACGCACAATTTCTGTGTCGGCATCATCACTGTTAACTGCATGATGGAGTGCATTGAACCCATGGAAATCTGCCAGATTCCTGTCGCAGCCCCAGTCCAGAAGCAATTGCACAATATCGTGGAATCCTAATCTAGCAGCGTGGTGAAGCGCAGTTACGCCTGCCTTATCATGAGCGTCCACTGCTGCGCCGCATTTGAGCAACGCGTCCACGATGCGCATTTCTTCCATGAGAGTAGCGAGAATAAGTGGCGTTCTCTCTTCGGAGTCTTTGGCATCTATCATGACACCATATCGAAGTAAAAATCTCACTGCTTCAAGGAGGCCGCTTTTCGCGGCCCAGTGTAGGGGCCTCTCTCTTTTGGCATCAGGAGCATCCGTGACATTTGCTTGTTGGGAAACAAGCATTGCCAGGGATAGCTTTCCATGTGCAAGACACCAGCAAAACAGGTTCGGATAGTCGTGAACGGGGTATTCTATCGAAGCCCCCTTGGAAATGAGCAACCATGCAATGCTTTCGTCGTTCTTCATGACTGCGTGAACAAGGGCGGTGCGTCCTTGATTGTCTTTGGTATCCACAGATGCTCCTGCTTCAAGGAGAACCCAAACCACGTCTCTATGCTCCTTGATTATTGCATAAATCAAAGGTGTTGATCCGTTGTCGTCAACGACCAAGTTCTGATCAGCCCCATGATCGATGAGGAGTTTCACTATTGATGGCCTATTTGTGGTGATTGCTAGTCGAAGTGGTGTTTCTCCCCCAGCCCCTAGGTTGGGGTCTGACGGACGGGGGTCTCTCTTCAGTAGCTTCTCAATCTTCGATGGATCGTTATACATGTGTAGGATTGCATGTTTCAGAGGAGTCCATTCATCCCTAGAGGGCTGGTTCAGGCTCGCGCCTCTGTCCAATAATAGATCTATCAACTGCTGAGCATGTCTCTCGACGGCTCGTTTGAGTGGTTTGGATCCGTCCGTGTTGCTATCTTCGGTGTTGCGTTTTTCTAGCATCTCTCGACCGTGACAGTAGACCTGTCTCAACATGCTGTAGCCGTCGAAGGCTTCGGCGTCCAAGTCCTTTTGACTTTCGATCAAAATCTTTGCGATTGAAGTGGGCCCATACTTGATCGCAAAAGTCATCGCAGAGTAACCTCGAGAGTTCTTTAGCTCCGATCTAGCTCCGTATTTGACCAGTTCTCTGGCGATATTCGCGTCCTCGTTGGCTACTGGCTTGATCAGAGCTTCATGGAGCGGAGTTTGCTGTTTGTTATCGTATTTATTCGGGTTTGCCGAGTTCCGCAAGAGGACCTGAACGAGCTGAAGGTGACCATATCTAACCGCCCAGTGGAGAGGAGTCTGGCCATTTGAGCTTTCCATGTTTACGTCGACTCCCGATTCCGAGATGAGACGCTTCGCCCAATAAGGGAGGTTGAAGTAGACTAATGCATGCAGACCGGATATGCCTTCAAATGATTTCTTCTTGGTAGGATGAAGGGAAAAAAACGAGCGTTCAAGACTGGCGGAGTTTTGCAGGAACTTCATTGCATCGGCTTCAACCTTGCCTATATCTTCGCGGGGGGTGAGGTCAAGATGATGCCCCCAATAACGAGCAGCATACTCGAGTAGTGGCGGCTGTTCTTCATGCGCATCGGATGTCGGGATGCAAAAGAACTTGAGGCAAATGGAAGCCATGTCTCCTGTTGGTTTTGGTAGTAAAACTTTTCTTTCGAAAAGCAAGTCCTTCACTGAATCATGGACAAGACAAAGAATACGCGATTGCTCATCGGACTTTTTGGCAACCAAGCCATCGCATGAAGAGACCAGATCGTCAATACTGGGTCGATACGACTTGTAATCCCCACCTTGGCTTTGCGAGATGGCGAAGCCGTCTCGAATTTGGTCGGCAGTAAGGCCTGGCCTCCCGTGAACCAGCCAAGTCAGAACGTGCTTCGCCCACCTCCATGTGAGCCTCGACTTCTCGTCTCTCTTATTCTCGAGAATCAGTAATCGTTGAACAGAAGGCTCGAATACCTCCTCGGTATGATTTGGAAGCTGGCGCAGAGCTTCGCTTATCTCTGCGCGAGTGGACTGCTTGCTGAGGAGATTCATGTGTAGTTCGGCCAAGAGAAATCTGGAATAAGTCAACTTCACACCTTCAAAGCAGAATTTGAGAGATTCAAAGCGGACATTTTGCTCTTGCAAGCAATACTGGTCACCGTCTCAACAACATCTTCCTCCGCCTCCTTGAGATGCGGTTTTCGTTCAGGGGCATTGTCAATCCTATGTCGCACGTAGGCCTCAATATCTTCACATTGAGGCTTGATTTCAATGTCCAGCTTCTGCCCAAGATTGAGCTCTAGCCAGCTGCTGTCGGTGGTGAAGAGCACGCGAATCTTAGGCGGAAGGCCTTTGAGCGCCTTTTGCATCGTTTCGCGGAGAGTGTCCTCTCTCAAGCTGTCAAGTGAGTCGATGATCAGATAAACTGTCTGATAAGTTTCGGCTTGGGATTTGAAAAGATCAGCGAGTTTTGCAACTGAGGCACTGGACGAGTCCCTTAGTGAGTCGTTGAAACTGTCGGTTAGGCTATTTGCAAGTGCCCGATCTCGCCCTGAGTCCAGCAGCTGAACCAAAAGTGTGGCCCAAAGGTGGTCTATGGAACTTCGATGCTGTTCCTCTTTACCCTTTTTCGGGAAATAGAAGTAGACGCAGGCCACATTCAGGCTTTGGTGAGCCTGAATTTCTTGCCAGATGGTTTCCGCAACCAAAGATCTAAAAAAATATCAAAGGTTTCAGAGACTATGATAGCGATGATAGAGGTACTTGTCAACCCACAAGAGTAAGGTCTTCCCTGAACCGACTATTATGAACTCAGTCAGTCGATTTCTGGTAGGTGATTTAAGATGGGGGCACATACGGATACCGTGGAGCCGGAGATATTGACACTCTTCTCCTGCCTTCCAAGAAACATATTCTTTGCATCCAAAAATCCATTTACCGGTATCATTCAATAGTTTTCCTAGGCTCTCTTCGTGGTAGGCCTTGGTTCGGGCATGTTCACCAGCCGCTTGGTCCACGAACCAGTCTCTGATCGTTTGAACTGCAAATCAATATCAGCAATAATCATTCTGACATACCAGTTCATCACCGTATTATCAAAAAAGTTTCGCACTCACTATTAGGACTTTTGCTCCAATTTCTATTCAATTCCATCTCACCGAGCGTCGGTATACCAGATGTGACAGCTCCAGATGATCAGCCATGTCTAATCCTGTAAATTGGTGTTAGAAGTCGGGATAGTTCACTTACTATGGATAGGACCTTGGTAGTAGTGGTTGGTTTGTGTATAGCTCTGATTTCCATCACCGTTCTTCGCAAGCTGAGTCCCTGCTCCATGGCTTTGGAGGGAAGTGCTGGGATAGCCACGCTCACTTTCTGATGTCATTGCTTAAGGTAAAGTAGGTAGCACAAGCTTAACGTGAAGATTGTAACCACTAAGCCAGAGTATCATGTTGAAAGAGCGCAAGCTCAGATTATTTTATGACTACTTGTATCAAAAGTTTGACACAATTTCATAGCACTTTCAAGGCTGAGATGACCTGGCACATACTCGTGACACGCCATTTTGGCCAATGTCCTCAGTGACTAATACGGGCATTAAGGCAGGCTGCCAGCCTCACGAACGAAGATGGTGTGAGGGAATTTGAAGCTGCAGATGTGAGGGATGTGGTTCCCCGGCTTATTGCAACCTTTGAGACTCTCCAATAAGAGTTGCAGCTGTGGCTACCAGGTGGTTCCAATAGCTGCGACCCATCAGCAGATTTCGCCAAGCCTCGCTCAATTAGGACGAAGTCTCTTGAAGCATGCGTGATTTGACCGGGAATAAAGAAGAAGCAGGCTTGAGTACAAATCAGAGAAGCTGTATATGGACAGTGTATCATTAGCAAGCAGTCATTTCTTGGCGGGCATTCGGATATGTGGTGGTAAACCCTCTCAGCCTGATCTACTTTTCGGTTTTGTCAATCCCCCACGACAGCATTCTCCGTGAGAAGAAATGATCGCGAAGAGACTGAAACTCTTCTCCTTTTGCCGCATATCATCATAGACGATCAGACCAGTCCTGTCAAGTATCTCAATGCCAGACGATCACCAGGATGAGGCGCGTCGCAATCGGTCCTGGGAAAGGAGAAGGTATTATATTAGATGCAATGATGAGGAAGACTCTACTGACAACATGCGAAGACCTCGTCCAGTCCACGAATACGAGCGTGAAGCCGACGGGCGAAGAAGCCACGTGCATCGCGTAACGATCCGTGATGTTCGACCCAATCTAGAAAGCCCGAATGTCAGGCCTTCAGGGCTCCCCAGCCCGCCGCCACCTCCACGTCGGCAAGACTCTGGTTACAGTGCATCACATCGAATGTCATATTCCAGCGCTCCAAGGAACAACAGAGACCTGCCATCCGGCCCATTGTATCCCCCACCCCTCGAACCTGAGCTTGATCCCGAACCTTACGAACGCGAACATATACGTAGGGGAAAAAGGAGACGTTCGAATTTTCACCGTGACAGATTCGAGGATCGGAAGGTTGGTAATAGGGATTTACCGAGCTACCGCGTCGGACCAAAAGAATCCCTTCAACTTCTTGGGGCAGACCGTGACCGTGCCGACTATTACCTGCGGCCCTCGAGACATGGACGGTCGCATTTCCATTCGCATGGGCGAGACAGGAGATCAAGATCGAGTTCTTCGGGCTCGTATGACTCTACCGAAAGCCTAGAGACTACAGAGATAACATGGAGGGAAGAGTTGGAAAGATACAAGAGAGCTGACGAAGAGAAAATACTCACGGACAAGGTAAGAAGAGAGACAGAAGAGACAATAGAGCGTAACTTGATGGAGAAGAAGCGAGAAGAAGATGAACAGCAACAAATTTACAATCGCGTGCGAGTCGAGGCGGAGTTTAACGAGAGAAGACGGATCGAAACGGAAGCACAGGAAGTAAGAGACCAAGAAGCGGCTACTATTGAGCAAATGAACGCGATGGAGAGAAGCATTAGAGGCAAATTGGAAGCAGAGAAATGGGCCGAAGAGGCAGAAAAGAAGGCAAAAGCTAGGCAAATTGAAGAAACTGCCAGGCTGTCGCGAGAGAAGATGATGGAGGCCATGGAAGATATCGCAACCCTTACCAAGGAGAAGGTCCTGGACGATATTGCAAACGAGAGGCAGATAGATACTGCAAAACGAGGGGAGCACGACTTCATGATGACCGAACTATTATCAGAGCTCCGAGCAATTATCAGATCGGACTTGCGTCAGGAAATTCGCTCAGAGGTACGCCGAGAGATAGAGGAGGAGGAATATGAAGCAAGAACGGGTAGGCCATCACGCCATTACTGGCGGTATCGCCAGGATCCTTCCACACCAAGATACACAACACCGGAACCACGACGTCGCTCCCCGCGGCCAGAGCGATATCGCGAAGCTTCTTACGGGACAGCATACCGATATCGAAGATACCGAGAGCCGCAGGACGGAAGATACCCTAGGGCACCCATGGTACATTCTTCAGATGACGAATCAAGGAGACATAACGAGGAAGGTATTGCTAGCCCAGTATCAAGCCACTTTGGGTCTTATCACCATCCAGTCCCCGAACCGAGGCTGAGGCGGAGATCCAGGCAGGAATACCGCATACCATCCTCCAATGGATCATCTAGGGGGTCTGCAACAGATCCTGTGGTGCATCATATGGAGCAGCCCGAGATCAATCTCAATGCCGCAAATGTGAACCAACCTCCGGCAAGAAGGTCTGCGTCTAGGAGGAAGTATCGTGAGTCTAATGATAGAGGTTTGGTAGTATATATACCGGCAACCTCAGAGTTTGAGCCGCCGCCGATAGGGAGTCTGGCTGAGAGTACTACGGCGTTTGGCACACAGCATGATCCGGAAATTGAGCTTAGCAGTAGGCCAAACAAGGTCGAGGAGGTTGAGGTTTGGAACGATGTGGAAACTAGAAGTCTTTCGCCGACGGACAGTTCATACCAGACACCGAGTGAGGTGTGAGAAACGCAGACACATGCCGTAATAGAAAAAGATATCTCCAAACTGAAGAGCGAGTGACCTGCACTCAATGTTAGAAATGCAGTACTGGATTGCCGCAGATCTCTCCCCCTAGCGGTTTCGTCATTCGACTAAGAGTCCACCTTGAATTGAGGGACTTGAACCCATGCACATTTTGGAGAAGGCGTCAGCCGTACGGTTTGAGGTTGCTGGGTAGGTATTTGGGCTGGCAGACATGGTAGCCACACTTAGTTGTTTCTTTGAAGAACAAAGACTCTATTGTTTGGCTCTTACCTGCAGCCACCTCTTAATCATCCCTCAACCACGTAACACCTCCCGCAACAACTTGGTAGATCCATCCATTGGGGGACATCTGCGTAGGGGCTACATTGTTGTTATACGTACCCCCGGCTCCGGCCCGAATCCGCCAGACAATCTCGCCAGTCCGGAAGTCTATGGCGGTGAAGTACCATACATACAATCCCTGGCCAGCAAGTTCCTCGTCCTGCGTGTAAGAGTACACGAGACCATTCGCAGTCGAGAGACTAAGAACGCTCGTCGAGCGGACCTCCAAAGCCCACCGGACCTCACACTTACCCTCAGGCGTAATGTCCACCCGCGTAATTCCAGGTGCCAGGGGCGCAAAGTCGTTGAACTCGCCGTTGATATCCGCCCCTTCGCCTAGATCCTGCAGTTCCGGGGCCCCGTAGTTGTTATTCACGACGACGCTGTACGTCGACCCGTCAAAGTACCCGACCATGGCATTCTCATTCGCGCTGGCGCCGGGTTCGAATAACGGGACCTTGCAGACTAGAGGCAGCTCGCCTTCCGCGAGGCTCCCGGCTGAAGAGGCGACTTGGCGGTAGATCAAGAGCTTCACTTGCGCGTCGGCGTTATCCGTGATGGCGACGTACTTGTCACCGACTAGGGACGGGGTTGACCCCGAACCCTGCGAGAAGCCGCCTGGCTTAGCAGCGGTACCGGCGTCATATGTCTCGTTCCACAGCGCGGTGATTTTTCCGTCGCTTTTGCTCGGTCTGAAGGCGAACATGTGACCGGTGCTGCTCCTGTTGGTCTCTGATGCGAGGGGACCGGTGTTGAGGTAGACTGTCTTCCCGCTGACGGCGATTGAGTTTTCGATTCTCTGGCCGTCGAGGGTGATAGTCCGGATCATTCCGTCTGGGGTCACGTATCCGAGGATGGAGGAGTCACTGGCAGTAGAGGTTGTCGCGAGCGCAACGGACGTGAACCACACGTTCTGATCCTCGTCGACGTAGCTGCTCACGACGCCGTGGTTCTGAGGCAGGGTCGTAGTGAGATCGATGTCTCGACGAGGGATGAACGTGGTACCGTTCGCGTCGTCGACTCTCTCGACTTCGAAGATGTGCCTTTCCATTGTGGGCAGGATTACGGAATCCCCAGCGACGGTGGCGTACGGAGAGAGCAATGTCTGTCCTTCAGGGGCCCAAGACCCTAGCATGTTCATAGCATCCGGGTCAAAGGCTGCGATGCAGAAGTACGGCTCTGCGGCATCCGTGCAGACGGAGCGCGCCGTCAGTCGGTTGTCGCTGTGCCAGTACTGCGCTGATATGGCAACAGACCGGCTGGAGACGTTGGGAGACACGCCGAGGGGACCATCCCAGTCGTTCGTCCTCGTGTTGCCGCCGTCCTGGTGGAAGCCAACTACGTCAGGGCTATAGCGAGTCTTCTTTAGTAGAGGCTGTGCTTGAGCTGGAAGTCCGATGAATGACTGAGTAGAGACGTTCTGGCTTTCGAGAACGACGCCGGTGTCTTCTAGGGGCGACGGAGAAGCCTATGTTTGTTAGAACATGATGTCTATGGCTTTAATATTGAAGAGACGTCTGGGAACTTACGAATTGGCCTAATACAGGGTGAGGCTGTAGCGCATTGGCCAGAAGAGCCGCAATGAGCTTCTTATAGTTGATCATATTGAAGGTGTCTAAAGTGAATGTAGTAGCGAAACAGCTATTGAAATGTGTCCCGTCGTGAAAGGAATTCTACTGAAGTTCTTTCCCATTTATATATGTATAAGAACATTGGAATTCCAATGTCTGTATGTGTATGCTTCATAGCACCCGACTGATGGTATGAGTCGCGGGCCTACCGGTCAGGACGGTGCTTTATCTTGGCATAGCGTGCCAACACTATAATTGATTGTCAACTCATTTCCGCGGTGTTGACTGTCTGCGCGGGAACTCAGCCACACCACCGCCGTCCACATTTTTGTTCCTCGGACTGAGTATCGTCAGCCTTGCATTCGCATAGAGGTCAATTTGTGCTCCCTCGATGATTCTGGAGCGAGGCGCTAGGAAAGTCGTATTCGCTATCCGAAGCTATTGGCTCCTTACCAGACTTGGCGGCGGCGTCAACCTACAGCCTGGCATTCTCTACTCGTATATTCAATCTCAAGAGAGCGGAAATGAGAAGCAATGTGTCGGCCTTCTTTATGAAGCTTTTGAGCGGATCCTAACTTTCAGGGTAGACCAGGATAAAGGGGGTGCTTGGAAGGCCGGCCTTTTCAGGTTGCGAACGTCTCACCAAGACATACGAACACAGTGGCAATCCGAGCCAGATAATGACATCAGCTATGAGGCATGCTACACGGCGAACGGTATTGATGGTATGATGTGTCTCGGTGTAGAAGAAGGGATGCTCTTGCATAAGATCGATGCCATCGAATGAGGCCCGGGGGCGGGCAGAAGATGTTACGGCATGATTGATAGGTGTCCATAGGTCAAATAGCTCACGATAACCAAGCCTTACGCATAAGAATCAAAGAAAAGCCAAAATATGTACAGCCCTTTTGTAAATTGTGCTTCACTCCTTCATACCTGCGCACTTTGGTAAAGGAGGTGATGTGTTGCGATAACCTCAACATCATCAATATCATGTGACCTAGCTTAGGTAAGGTAAATAGCTTTGTTTTTCTGCGCATTGCGAGTAGGCCACGATACCTGGATAGTAACCTACCTACCTAAACAGCTTACCTAAGATTTCGAGGTCCATCAGTCGCATTCAACAAGTAACTCACTACAGGTAGCCGGCAACGAATGAATGGCAAAGGTCACAGGCTGCCAACAGTCTGTCGAGGGCCCAGGCTCAAGCAGCGAGCTTGGTGTTTATTCAACGGGGTCCCTGCAAGTCGCGGGACCTTGTTTTGGGGGCCACCAAGGTGTGAGGATTCTGGGCCGACGTCTCGCTTGGCCCAGGGCCTCGAGTGAATTGAGTGGCTGCGAGCTTCGAAGTGGGGTGTTTCCACGGTGCCGATACCCGAGGAGTTGTCTCAGTCATGAGCTGTTCAGTCACCAGATTCGACAATGACATGAGGTACCTTACACATTGTGCCTTGTTGCTGCGGGAATGTCGCACAACAACACCAACTCATCGCCTGTCAACCGTCGAGCTATCGCTAATTTTCTGTACCTTGGTGAGAATACTGAGACAGCATTAGTTCGTCCCATATCCATCGATGATTTGGTACCAGGAAATATGGAGAGAAGACGCGAACTTTGGGGACCTGGGTGCTGTAAGGTAGGTGAAGAAAGAGTTACATAAGCAATCTCGACAGATTGGGGGCCCGCCAAGAACCGGGAAGGCCCAGACAAGCCTTGGCACGTGACGCTCGGCACATCGACGCGTAACCCCTGCGCAGCTGAGGGAAGCTGCCAATCCCTGTGACGATGGCCGATTCAAATTCAAGGTCTCGATGTTCCTGCCCAATGACGTTACTATGCACGGGGCACGGGTCGGGGCTAAACTGGATTGGCTTTTAAACTTACTTTATGGATTCCAGTTGGGGCCTTTTGGGTTTGGGTGTTTCTCTACGAACAAGGTGCGATGATGGTTTGATCCAAGGCAGGCATGGTACCTTAGGTAGGTGGGAGGCCTTTTGGAGAACCAACTGATTGATTCCAATTGTTCCTGCTTGCGCTACGCCAGTGAACAGTCCGCGCAAAGCGCACACGCACAGGTACCTGAATAATAATCAAGGTACCTTGAATATGGTACACAGATGAGCGAGGGAGATGGGTAGAAAGAGGGACCAAAGAGGAAAAGAGCGGCCTGCGGTGGCTGCTCCTCCCGTTATTAGTCGATTCAATAGCTCCGTCATTGAATTTGCATTCCAACCACATCTGAGACTGAGACCCTTTCTAATCACCCAGTGCTGTGTTTTGTTTTCTTCCAACCTACCTCACTTCGCCAAGAGCTTGCTTTCTGGACAGCAATCACCACACCATTCGTCCATCGTCCACCCGGGCTGACATTTCCACGACCGACAAACGAGGTCAATTGCATCGTCGTCGAAGCAATGTCGCAACCCTACGGCGAGTCTGCTGGCTACTACGGTGGCCAGCAGCAACAACAGCAGCCTCCCTACGATCAAAAGTATACCCAGCAGTACAATAATGGATACCAGCAAGACTACAATCAACAACAAAACTACCAGCAGGGCGGTTACCAGCAAGGCTACGCCCCTCCGCCGCCTCCTCAGCAGGGCTTCGATAATGGGAGCAACGGCTACGGATACAATGCGCCGCCCCAGGGCTACGATCCCGAGAAGTACACTTTTGAGGAAGCATTCAAGATTGAGAAGCCCAAGTGGAACGACCTCTGGGCTGCTATTCTGGTAAGATATATCCTGTCGCGGCGACACCTCCAACACCACGTCAATCCGATGGCATTCAATTGCTAATAACTCTGTGCAGTTCCTTGCCGTCTTCCTTGGCTTCGCGGCCGTCTCAGGCCTGACGATATCCGGCTACTCTGCGACAAAGGGCCTCAATGGCGGCGGCATCTACGATGGAGGTAACACCTTCGGCCTCAGCACGAACACAATCGTCCTCTTCGCCTTCGTTCTCGCGGTCGCAATCGTTCTAAGCTATGCGTACGTCTGGATGGCGCGCCTCTTCCCCAAGGCCTTCATCTGGGTCACGGGCATCCTCAACATCGTCTTCGCCCTCGTCACCGCAATCTACATGCTCTCGCGCAAGTACTACTCGGGCGGGATTGTCTTCCTCATCTTTGGCGTCTTCCTCGTCTTCGCCTTCATCAGCTGGATCCCCCGCATCCCCTTCTCCGCTCTGATGCTCAAGACTTCGATCCAGGTCTCCAAGAAGTACGGCCACGTCTACTTGGTCTCCTTCCTGGGCGGCATGCTCGGTGCCGCATTCGCGGCTTGGTACTCCGTCACCCTTGTCGCGACCTACTCCAAGTACCAGCCGTCGCAGAACAACCCTCAGTGCAGGAGTGGCCAGTGCAGCCAGGGCAAGGTTATCGGACTGATCGTCTTCATCACCTTTGCCATGTACTGGATCTCGGAGGTGCTCAAGAACGTGATTCACGTCACCATTTCAGGGGTCTACGGCTCGTGGTACTTCTGCGTCAACAACTTCCCCAAGGGCGCGACTCGCGGCGCGCTCAAGCGCTCTCTGACCTACAGCTTCGGCTCCATCAGCTTCGGTAGCTTGATCGTCGCCATTATCAACCTCCTCCGCCACCTGTGTTCCGTCGCCCAACAGCAGTCGGCCGCGGACGGCAACATTGTTTCGTACGTGCTCTTCTGCATCTTGAGCTGCCTCATCTCTCTGCTCGACTGGGCCGTGACGTTCCTCAACCGATATGCCTTCTCGCACATTGCCCTCTACGGCAAGGCCTACATCCCCGCGGCCAAGGACACCTGGAAGATGATTAAGGATCGCGGCATCGACGCCCTTGTCAATGTGAGTATCTCCTTAAAGCCTCCTTTTTCTCGCATCAGTAGACTCATATGTCCCAGGAATGCCTCATCGGCCCCGTTCTCTCCTTCGGCGCCACGTTCATCGGTTATGCTTGCGCTTTCCTTGCCTATCTGTACATGGTCTTCACCAACCCCGCCTACAACCAGAGCGGCAACTACACCCCTGTCGTCGTGGCCTTCTCCTTCCTCATCGGCTTGCAGATCGCCAACGTCTTCACCACGCCCATCTCGAGTGGTATCGATACTATTTTCGTGGCCTCTGCATGGGACCCCCAGGTTCTCATGCGCGATCACCCTCAACTGTACGATGAGATGGTTCGCGTGTACCCTCAGGTCCAGCAGGCTATCCACGCCTAATGTGGAGCATAATTGTGTAGGAGTGTGAGTCAGTGGAGAGAGTCTCAGAGGAGACGTTGGAAGAGACTGGATACCCCAAGAGAAGTGCAAACCGTTCACTTGGACGACAAACTTAGTACTAATGAAATGGCATTTTATCAATACGTCTTTATGTTCGAGTCACTTGCGCTGAGCCTGACCATGTGCTTGTTCGCTGTTGACCCGAGCAGAAGTCCGACGCACCAACCTACCGACGTCCTCAGTCAGCCGACTTGAAAAAAAGGAACATTCAACAAAAGATAATGTCCCTAGCAAGGCTCGAACTTGCGACCTTTGGATATCCCTAGATGTTCTAGAGTCATACGTATTTGATATGAGACCAACGCTCTACCGACTGAGCCATAGAGACAGATGTTCATGTCTGCCTCCGACGGATAGATGGCCAAGGACCCTCAGGGTGGCAGAGGCGGTGAAAAGAAGGGGTTGGGGAACCCGGATGAGCAAAAGATATTGACCAGCCTGGGGGTCGAACCCAGAATCTCCTGATTACACGAATCTCTCAACTCTCGATCAGAGGGATGAAGGGGATCGTAGTCAGACGCCTTGCCATTGGGCCAACCGGCCTTGGAAGAAGATCCAAGTGGAACTGCTTGATGGTAAGAGCTGGCATATTGGAGTCCATGAAGGAGAAGAGACGGGTTTGCGGGGCTGCTGCGAGAAAGGATTAGTCGTGGAGATCATGAAAAATTCTGCAAAGAGTTTTCGCGGATTTGGATGCAGATTTTTCACGATGGGGGTCGGCCGGCGGTGTTACGGTGGATTGTGGAGGCGGGTTGTCCGGGTCGGTGACGAGCGGATCGGAGGCGGGGGCCGGTGGTCTGTGGACGGCGAGTTTGGGTGGGGAACGCGGGGTCGGAATGGCGTCCGGAAGAGAATGGCAGCGGGGTGCTATCTATCACGGCAAACATTTCACAGAAGGCAGGGTGGGCTTTGGCCCTGGCTTCTCCTTCAAGCAGTGTCCAGTAAGGTATCAACGTTGGGTCACAGCGGCGGTCCATTAGTACAACACTCTCCAACAGCAGGTAAGCAGTTCAATCAAGTCCATAAGATCATTCAGTTTGGTTGCCACTACTATAGCACTCATAACGCGTCCATCTTCACCAATTTTCACCTAATTCCCGTCCTTCATCCGCCTCTCCTCCCCCGAGCTCGCCTACTGTCGACTGCAACTCAGCCGGAATCTCCGCTTTTCCGCTCAAAGGCTGGAAAGCGCGTTCCGCATCGTACCACGCAACGCTGGCTGCCATCCCTCCCTCCCTCAACCAGAGGGCATTGTTCATCTCCCGATGCAACATTCACGCGTCACCGACGCGGGTCTCAGCAACTTACCAGTCACTGTTGGCCATCTGGACATCCTCAGATGTCTCTCCCACTTGGGTGTTCTCAACGGAGAACGTTCGGTGAGGGGTAATACTCAATTGCGCGACTCCGCAGGTGATTTTTTCCATTCCGTCTGAATCGTCAATCGTCAATTCTTTCAATTCTCTAGTGAGTGATTCTATTCCTCCCGAATAGATTTTAGTAAACACAATCCCCCCCTCGGCCGGTTGAATCGGCGGGGCATCAGTCATGATTACATCTTCATCATGCTGTTCATTCGACTGTTCGGCCTCACGGCGCTCGACGTTCACCAAGAAGTCCACACGATCTTCGTTGCCGATTGCAGTCACCATCTCCCCTTTCCCACAAAATCAGCCAACGCACGCGTTCTCAACACGCCCACGGCACGAATGCCTGAACTTACTGTACACGTAGCCCCCGGCTTCATCGATTTCGATCACCAACAAGATGCCGTTGATGCGGCGCACGCGGAACCAGCTGTTCTCTCCCGCGATCACCGCGGGCCGCGACTTCGCGACCTCAATCACGATGCTAGCGACCTGGCTGCGCAGCGCTTCGAAGTCTATGGTTACATGAGGTGAACTCATCGTGTCTTACCTGACGCGTCTCTTCTTACGCGTTCTGTATCCAAACGAAGCGTGTCCCAGACACTGCTCGAACTCCAAGCTCGCGCGAAGCAAAACGAGAAAGAAGAAAGAAAATGCTGAAAAGGAAGCCACCGCTGCCTCGTTCTCCCCCGGTTGATGGAAGGAAAGGTGAATGATGAAAGGAAGAAGAAGAAAGAGGGAGGGAAGGAAACGAAAGGCGACAGGCTGAGCCAATTTATCCTACGACGCGTGAAGGCCTTCCAACCGCGTTTACCAAGAGTGTCCGGTCAGCTGACTTGCTGACTACCCTTCAAGAATCATCCACCAATCAGTGTCTCTTCTCGGCAGGACATCAGTTGGAGTGATAAGATCCAACAGTCTCTCAACGTCGGCGGATCGTTTTTCCCCTCTGATGACTTAGTAATGCAGCCAAGGGGATTTCATGGTTGTGATTGGTTAGAGAGCTTCAGGCTTGGTTTGCTGTAGTTGACTGCAAAGGAGAAGTATATCAGAAGGGAGGGCTGGAGCATCGTGTATCAACACCATCATTGCCATAATTCACATATGTAGGTAAGACGCTTTGATACTTAGCATAGACCATGTTGGCCTAGGCCACCATGTCCCTCTTGACTAGCGGATGTCAATTACATCTTCGTCGTCACGAGTTATGGCACGCATCAACGGGCATATGTGGTGTCGTAAAGTGGCTTACTGTACCCAAGCGGAAATAGACCAAAGGAAAAGGTCTATATGAGATATATGTGATACACGTGATACATATTGTGATGGGCAATTCGTGGGTTGCGGCTCCTATCTTTATCATGTGACAATCATCATCATCACTAACGTCGCTGAGTCCTCACTGGTACCGACGGTGTAATCAGTGAAAAGGCAACGGCCACTGTTCAGGACATGTATATACTATGGCCTGAGCCTAGCCCATAGGCTGTCAGACTTCCATGGCTCTTCAACTAGCAACTTCGCAAACATTCTTCGGAGTATTTTCAGCTTAGCTTCGCTGTGAATTACCTTGAACAGTCTATAGCTAGTCACCTTAGTCTCTGTCCTATAGTCATAATAGGGGCTTCGATGTGAAACGTAGAGAACGGTTGTTGATCAAAAGTAGGAATTGGGCTCGAATCTCGCCATGAAAAAGAGGGTGTAAGTGATTATCGAACTCGGTGATTCTATTACCGAGGCTTCGTGACATGCGGTGAGGCCACGGAAGTTTAAAGCCATTCCGGGCGAGTGGGGAGGTCTCAGGATCATGCAGGACTCTGCGGATGCGTAGAATGGCCGCTCCACTGTCAAAGAGACTGGCCACTTGCTTTGTCACATACTTGGCTAGTAATCCTATCGTGTCTGTCAGTACCAGGTCGGTCTCATGCTTCTTGGCCCGCACAGGGCCACGGAAGCACGGGTTCTTTTCGCGCCTGTTTGCCTATGGATCGACAGCGAAGAATACCAGGTTTCCGCCGAAAGTGGGTGGAGTGATGATAGGAAAACCTTGGGAAAGCAGGAGTTCCAGGAGATTAAGTTGAAACCAGGCAATTGCGATATAAATGTGAAGTGGGTTGGATGAGATGCTTAGCGTGGACTTCACTGCGACGCTGATGAGCTCTGCCATGTGATTTATGTCGGTCAAATGGATAGAGTATTGGTTTTTCTAGCTTAAGGCCGAATGCCAGGTCGCTTTGTGTTGGTGTTTTGTGGAAGAATGGGAGACATCCTATATTGATGGGTCTTCTTTCCACTAAGCCTCAGTCCACTTTCGGACACGAATTGCTCAGATCGATCACTATTGCAAAAGTACCTGCATGGCTAGAAACGGGCATGGTCTCTATCGGCACAGTACCACGTGGAGAAGTGCCACAAGCTGCAATCAGTTGAGGCGTTCCGAAAGATAACGTTGGGATTCACTTCAGCCTTCACCAAGAGGACCAAGAGGAGTGACGTACCATAATCGGCTACGCTCACAGTTCCGACAAGAAGTGTACAAGTAAGGCTTCAACAAGTTTCCGATGCTGTGAAATGGAAAGTCCTAGAATCAATTTAGCCAATAATATTGAGGTTTTCAAATTCTTTCGAGCCACGATCTCACGTGAAGTGTCTTCAGGACTTTTGATGTCATATCCGCAAAACCGGCATGACTACGATGTCCCTTTTGCGACGGCAAGCGTTATAACTTGGGCATGATACATATTCTTAAGTTTTGAATCCCTGTCGTATGGTCATATGGCCCATAACCGTTGAAACTCAAGTGGGAGCCGGCCGATTAGTAATCTACCCCTTGACTTCAACGACTGCCTAGGAATGACTCGGAAACCATACGTGTCGAGATACATCATATGAAGGCAAGTACTTAGTTGCCTCCTGTTTCTTTGCTTGGTAACGGTTTCCTTTTAACCGATAGAAACGTGAAAGCAAGTCTATGCACCGTAACGTCGGTTTTCCAAAATTTTATTTCACATCTACGCTAGCAACTCAACCTTATCATTACTTGTGCAGCAAGACATGGCGAAATCGTTCTTTACGAGAATCTTTCGACCGCCTTGGTCCAACACGACTTCACAAGGGTCACAATTTCTCAGCAACGAAAATCCTGAGAATGCGTATGACTTAATTGAACCATGGATCAAGACCGACTTGGATATACCTATAGATGCAACCAACCGCGATAGATGGCCCAGCCTCATCTTGCAGGCCCGAAGGCATATGAGATGCCACCCCTATCATCCAAAACGCCTGCCCAAAGGCTATCGCCCTTTCCAAATGATCGTGGACTCTCCAGAAGACGAAGACGAGAGGTCAAAGAAGGAAGTCGATATATCCGAACCGCCTACGTTCTTTCTATTCACGGACCTACCAAAAGAGCTTAGAGACAAGATCTTGCTCTCGTCACAGACTCCGATCATCATGGAGGGTTTCGCAGTGATGGACGAGGAATGGAGAGGGGGCCCGCAAGTACATTTCCGCTCGTACAGGTCCTGGGCTCGAATACCTCTCTATGCCGTGAGCCGCGAGACGAGAGCGCTGGCCATCACCTTCTTCGGCAAACCGGATCCGCTCTCTGTACCGTTCAACCCGTCTCAAGACGCCATTTTCTTGGACTGGGATGATTCCAAGCAGGCTGAGCGTCGCTGGACGGGCAACCACAGAAACCCAGGGCCCGTACTGATGACTCCCCGATGGAACGCAGCCGAGGAGTGGGCTATGCCGAGGGAACTGTGTGATAGAATCTGCCACATCAAGGTTGACGCGCGCCACGCCTCTTCCGAGAATGCAGACAAGGGAGACAAGGTGCCTTGGCGGCTTGTTTTTGGGCTGCTCAAAGAGCACTTCCCTAACATTACGATGTTGGAGGTGAAGCTATCGGACTTGGACGATAAGAGGTTCGAGGGAACGTACGATCCGGTCGTTCAGGAGCTTTATAGGATTGATCAGCTGGATCTTTTGGACGAGCTGGAAGAAATGTCTAGGGATGGGCGGGTGCCGTTCCAGAGCTTAAGGCGCTTTATCATCACACCGGAACTCCCGACTCCTCTCCAGGCTGAGAGAGAGATTCTCAAGTTTCGAAAGGTGGGGGGCAGCCATTTCAAAGTCTTTAGACAGGGTCAAATTCCCAAGGTTGGATAGTGAACCATGTTTCTACAAGGTAGTTTATGGATCATGGGCGGGACCTCAACTGGATAGTATCATTTGGCCAAGTCTTCTTTGAAACTTCTGGCCATGTAGCTATCTGGTACTAATACATAGTTCATGCCAGACACCTCACAACACCGTTGTGTGAATGAGCGAATTGCCTACCTGGGCAAGCCTCCGCACCTCCTATTCAAAATATGGTGAGCTACAGGTGACTTTCCTGGAGTCCAGACTTCAAGAAATCTGGCTATCATTCCGGCCGTTTGTAATCAGAGGCAGGAATCCCGAAGATTTGATCAAATTTCCACAGAGCGTCCGGAAACTCGTCCAAATCCCTCACATCCGCCCCGCTTTCAAGTAGCAGTCTGGCCGTCTTCCCAGCGTGACCTCGCTCGTACCTAAAGACCTCCGATGTACGCAGAGCAACAACAAGTGGAGGCAAGTGTCCGATCCTACCCAAGGACAGCCAACGTCCACCGGTAAGGCCTGCACCAGCCTCCAGCAGGGCGCGGACAACGTCTACCTCCCGACCCTCAGCTGCGATGGACAAGGCCGTCCGTAGGATCAGTTGACCAAAAGCCCCAGTCAAAGTCGGTGCTATGGACTTTACGAATGCCAACCGCGACGCGTGCCAGACCTGGTATCTCGCCTCTGCTTGGGCGTCGCCTCTCGCGGAATAATATAACAACCCATATGAAAAGGCGTGCATACTCGGCAGACACGCAATCTCAAGGGGCGTGAAGTCCTGGACCTGAAGACCGTTGCCGTTGCACCTCATGTGGTACACGCCGCCCTGCGAGAGAGACCGTTGAACCAATACAGGACAGCCGGCGCGAATGAATGCTGTAGTGGGCGAAGCTCCGATCGAGAGGAGGACACGCGCCTGGTCAAAAATGCCCATGTAGCAGGCTTCTATGAGGAGCGTGTGTCCCAAGCCGCGGTCGTCGTCAACATTGGCCCCGTGAAGAACCAGTAAGGCAGCCCAATCCGCAAAGAAGTCTGGCCGTCTTTTCTTGTTGATTGACAGATAGAAGGCATGCATCAGAGCGGTTCGGCCATCCATGTACGTCCATCTTACATTGACGTCGGCGCCAAAGAAAAAATAATTGCCAATGACTATGTAGTAGTTGTTGAAGGATAAATGTCGAAGGAAGAACGCCGCCACCCTCAAGAAATCATGATTCATGAGGCTTGCCAGTGTCAGTCTCGTGTAGAATCGGACGAGATAACCCAAGTCCATTGCTAGCACTGTTGGCAAGACCCTCAGCAGCATCTCTTCGTCGTCGTGGTCAAGAGCCATGTCGCAGAGACGCCAATATACCCCGCGTGTCTTTCCTTCTGCGTCGAGAAGTTCAGGATTGAGTAGTATTTTCCAATTGGGTTTGTGGTTGCACAGCAAGGTGAGGGCTTCGTAGTTGGCTTGATGGACAGCGATACTGAGCGGCGTCAGACAAAGTTCGTCGGGCATTGCTCGTCGGAGGCGGTGTATTTTGACGGCCGGTCTTGTGTGACAACGCGTCACGAAAATCTCGTCAAATTCCTGGTAAAAGAACCGCCGAAAAATGTTCGTCGGACTAACAAGAAACGGCGGATAGGACAGTAGTCGACTGGCAAGTTCCATATTGCGAATCTTTGCATTCTGGCTTGCTCCCGCCTTGAGGAATCTCTTCATGAGATCAATTCTGCCGAGTACGGTGGCCCAGTTGAGTAGATAGGGGTGTCTGTCAACTACCCTTTTGTGATAGATGAGGATGCAGCAATGATAAAAGCCTTTGCACGTTCGAGATAGTGCGTATATATCATCTACTACTCGAACGTCGACGCATTGAGCAATCCTCTCGATGATTTCCATTGGAAGAGCGGATATTGACGTCGGGGCCGAGGCCGACGACGCCGTCTCAACTTGAGTGGAAGCATCACTAAGATGCTCTGCTCTCATTCTTTCTCTTGTCTGGATGTGTTGATTCGGTACCCAGTATGTTGCTGAAAGTTATAAGGTGGATGTGAAGCTCCAGTTTCCAACTTCTAGAGGGCGACTTGCGGGAATGTAATTTCTTACATTTGAATAAAACAGGCAACATTTAGTTTTCAGATCGAATAGCTTGATCATGAAGTTGAAGATGGGCTAGCTGCCGCGGGGGCTGCAAGGTCTAATAAAAGCTTTATTTTGACATTTCGGAGATACTTATGGCGTCAATACCTTGAAGAAGTCGGTTTGCAGGTGTTTAAGGAACTCCATGGTTGCGTTTCGGAGATGGCTACGGTATCATCGATACGTTCAAATCACAGACAATTCCAGTCAATCAGATCTTCGAGGTTGCCGTCATCGCTTCCTAGATTATCATCAACCGTGAGAGCGAGCGAGAAATAAACCGCGGCCCCCTTCAAACAACAAAGCTAAGAGAAATTAACCATCTCAGGTGAGTGATAAAGACTATCGTCAATGAACGAAAGAATTTGAACCATGCCAGCTGTAGTAAACTTAACATTCACTTACATCACGATATCCTTCAAGGTCAATGGATTGCTATGGAGATAATGTGTATGTGTATGGCACAGAATGAGAGCCGCCACAATTCCCATGATGTTCTTCGCCAGAACCAAATTTATTCTCAGAACAGAATCACAATAACCTTCACGGCATGATATGTCGTCTGGAGAATGTCTATCTCAACAAAACTATTACCAAATCTATCTCCGACTAGGTTCTCAACGCAGATGACTGATACCACAGCCATCTCCGTTACCATGCCATCGCACGGTCGACAAAGCAACCGATACGGATAGAGCAATATTTTGACTCAAAGGCCGTCTCATTTGGGCCAGGAATAAATTGAAAATCGTCATCTGGTCAAGCTCTGATAGTACGACTGAGCACCTTAGGCAGGGCGGCCGCGAGCACTCAACCCGCGGCATTATAAGCGTTCCAGACACCGAGTACCGCAATATCGCGGCAATGATGTTGACCAGTGATCCTATTCAGACAAGGGACAAGTATTTGTGATTGAGAACTTGAAGGTAGCAAGGCAAGTCATTATAGCATCTGATCAGGGTACGACCTGGTCTCTCGTACTACGATGGATGTCACCGGCCCGTGACGACTTCAAGAGTAACTATTCCGCAACCGCCTACAGCGTCTCGTAACATGTTCCACATCATTCACATTATAGAAACGCACCATAATACTCTCTCCGACTCAGCTTACTCTAACACCCAATCTTCACACAAGATGCTGTCTTCATCTCCCATACTTGATCCAGACCGCACACCCTCCCACAAAGAAAATCCCTAACAGTATCAAATTCGTCAATACCCCTTCAACCCACCTCTTAATCGCCATCTCCTCCCTCGCCTTCCAGCCGCCCCCAGGCCCAGCGGCATTCGCGTGCGGGAACGGCACATCGGGCACCTCCTTACCCAGGAACTTGCACAGAGGCTCCCATCCTTCATCGGCGGACCACTCGAGCAATCGGTCAGCGGGCACCATGCCTCGGATCATGTCGCAGTGTTCTAATACGTGCCGTTAGTCCCGTCATCCCACCAGGTTTTCCTGCCATGAGACGTGGGTCCGTTTTGTCGGCGGAGGTCTCGTAGATCAGACCACGAGCATCCACTCAAGGCCAGGCAAGACTCTTGTGACGCGCGTGCAGAAAAGGCTTGTGCTTGAAAGAAGCAATAGAAAAGGCTTGACCCCCCCAAAAGCAACATTGAGCCGACACTAAAACAGTAGTCAGGACAAGAAAAAGAAAAATACTTACCACGATAAACCCACTTGCCGTTCCTCCTAATCGCTCTCGCCATATCGCCATCCGGCGCGCGGAAGAACAAGGCCCACAAGAACCTCTCATACACGTGCCACGCCCAAAACGCCTCTCGATCCAACAGACTCGACACCCAGAAGCTCCAGCTCTCGTTCACGTGAACCAGCGTTTTGACCGCGCTCTTATGCCACGAGTCAAGGTCCCGCCGCACATTGAGCACAACTTTGGCCTCGGGGTACGCTCGGATCATCTCCGCCGCAAAGCAACTCGCCGCTGCGTCCGTCACCGCGACACAGTGGCCCAGCAGCTCGTCAAATTCCTCAGCTGTGATCTTGCAGTCGCCTTCTGATGATGTGTCATCAATCTCTTTGCCTCCTTTGCGTTTCGGCGAGGATGACCCGCCACCGCCGTACCACTTCTTCCGAGCAAGCTTCACCCATCCCGTAGCAGGAATCGGCGGGTCGTCGTAGACGATATCCCAGCCGTGATAGGTATGATCGTACCCGAGCGCAAGTAGAGCCTGCTGCAGGGACTCGGTAGCGCTGCGCGGCGGACCGACGCAGAGAACTTGCATCGGCTTCGTGCGCTTGCGCTTCGGCGGTGGAGGGATGCGGTAGACGTGGTTCTCTAGGAAGCGCCACCACCAATGGTCGAGGCTTGACATTGGCGAATGCATGGCGGCACGGTACGTTTTGTTTCGTTCCGTTTCGTTTCGTTGGCGGCAAATTCGTCCCCCGCGGTCGCTAGTTTAGTCCCGCGTCTGTCGGTTGTTCCCGTAGCTCGACCCGATGTTTCTCGCGGGTATTTCGTCTCGTTCCGTTAGTACTTCGCTATGAATTGCGAGTGTCTTTGAGCGCCGGTGATCTCAAGATTCCCAAAGACCGAAGATGAGCTGAGCTGAAGATGAAAAGAAGCCACAACCGAGCGTGCATATGTTCGTGCCGCAGACATCAAAACGTGCGACAGCTCTCATATTATATAACAGCAGAGAGCTCTCTACCCCCAGTCAGGTCACTCCACCGAGAGGAAACAGGAGACATGTGCTCACAGACAATGGAAACGTTTTGTTGGAGACCGTCGTGCCGCCATAGCGTTTGGAGAGCTGACTTTTTCGTTTCTTCTCCTGTTACAATAAGTAGCAAGCAAGCGGCAGGAAGATTGCATGATCCATCCCTACAAATTCCGAGAACGAAGGAGGGTTACTTTACAAAACGCTGGCGCGGAAGGGGAGAACATGGGTATCGGATGAGGGGCAGAGGCACAGAAGCATGAAGGACAGCCTCCGCACGGCGCACGGCTCGGCCGCGGTGCTCTCGCCTTCCCCACATCCGATACCTCCGCAAAGCGTCAGCACTCGAGAACTAGAAAGCTTGCTTCCAGGACAGCTCTGCGTAATCAGAGAAGTGAACCAACTTGACAGACGTCTGTTTGGAACTTGAAATGCCTTGGTATAGTGTGATGCGCCGGCCGAACGAGGCGAGCCTCAGACGAACCGTGACGTGTGACGGGGCCTATACATGAACCGAGACAAGCCTGCCTTTTAGGCTGTCAACCTTCGGTCTCGGCTTCTCAGCCATGCTTGCAAACCCAGTATCCAGTCTTGCTCCCCTCTGCTGAGTCTAACGACCGCCAGAACTTGGTCCATCCAGGGCGACCGTCGCTCCGCAGGTACTCCACCTCCTTGACCTCGCCCTCGCTCTTCTGGCTCTCTGCTGTGAGAAGTGCTGTGTAGAGTGATTGATAAAACAGAACCTGCTTCTCAATCTCCACTGGCATCGTGTCAATGGGACCTAGGATGAGAGACTCCAGCTCGTCTGTGTCCACCTCACCGAGAGTGGAGATGAGGAGCGTTGTCACATTTGGTCGAGGAACCGGGACCCTACGAACGGAGCCCTCAAACGAAATATGTAACCGACGGAGGGCAGGGAAGTTTGGCGCGATGCTTTTAATAATGTTCAGATACTGATCTCGGGGGCTCAGTGCGCGAAGCTCAGTGATCGTGGGTGCTCCAGGTGATGGCCGCGGGGACTTGTCTAACGATTTGTCGACAAGGGACTCATCACGATCCGGTATGCGTAATTCTAGAGATGTGATCCAAGTGAGGTGCGGCGTAGCGATGGCGTACGGAAAATACATAGCCTCAAGCCTCTGCTCGAACTTGAATGTGTTGCTCGCGTACAAGACCTGTATCGTCTCTTCGTAGCTGTAATTCAGTCAGTACTGGTCTTCTGATGTGACACAACCGCTGTTGGCTTAGTCTCATGCGTCACGATGAACTCGCCCAGGTGCGGAGAGCAAACTCACGCTCTTCGGCATGTCAGCAGCCAGGGGAGTATACCCAGATATGTCTCCTTAGGACCACACGTCTGGTAGAACCCTCTAGGGCACTGATCAGACAGTTTGGTCTCAAGCTTGCGGTCCTCGGGGCCGCACACGCAGCTCCACCAGTACCACTGCGGCGTCATACTCGCATCGGCAAAAGGCGGATCCATAGGCGACACGCTCGGTGAATGGGGGTACCAAGCCGGCACAGGCTGATGGCCTTTCCTCCATCTCACATCTGGCTGGAGGCTGCGGCGATACAGTAAGTACAGGTGTAGAATCTTGCGGCCAAAAGCCAGCTGGTAAATCTGGTAGCGGAGGTCGGATGAGAGGACCTCGAAGAACGGCCCCGCAGAGCCACCCGCACGCTTCTTCGCTTCCCAGG